TGCTGCTGCTGCTGCTGCTGCTGCTGCTGGTGCTGCGGGTGTGGTGGTGTGGGGGGGATGCATGCGCATGCGCATGCAGTGCATGCGCATGCGCATGCAGTGCATGCGCATGCAGTGCATGCGCATGCAATGCTTGGGGCTTGATAGAAACTCTCCAGACTTCACCGAAATTTCCTTTTCCTAATTTTTCATGAAACTTAAAATAAAAATCTAAATCTAAGTCAGCAGCAACCCCACCACTTGAACACCCTGGCCAACCACTCGCTCTGAACACACAAACCCTAAACCCTAAACCCTTGTAAACCCTAAACCCTTGTAAACCCTAAACCCTTGTAAACCCTAAAAAATTTTTTTTTTTTTTTATTTTGTAATTTCTTAATGTATATGGGATACAGAAATAAAGGATATGCATATCGATGCGGGGAACAAAAATTTATAAACCCTAAACCCTAAACCCTAAACCCTAAACCCTAAACACTGTTTGTGTGTCTGGTGCTACAACTCACTGCAGCAGGAATCGATCTAGATCTCTTTCTGCGGCTTGTTGCTGCTGCTGCAGCAGCTCTTGCTGCTGCCTCTCCTGCTTCTGCTGCTCTTCCTGCTGCTGCTTCGACTGCTGCTGCTGCTGCTGCTGCTGCTGCTGCTGCTGCTGCTGGCTAGGTAAATATATACACTGAGAGGAGCCGCAGGGTTTACGGGGGAGACATACACTGCAGCAGGGGCTCCCCCTGCACGGCGGCGACCCCAGCAGGGGTGGGCTTAGCTGCAAGAAAGCAGAGGGGGGCCCCTCGGGGGCCCCCCCCTGGGGGGCCCCCTGGGGGCCCCCCTGGGGGGCCCCCTCGGGGGCCCCCCCCACTGCGGCCCCTGCGGGGGCCCCTGCGGGGGCCCCTGGCAGGGCCCCCGCGGGGGCCCCCAGGGGGGCCCCCGGGGGGCCCCCACCCTCAAAGCCCTCAGGAAAATCTCCCCATAGAATTGGCATCAAGTGCTCTAGCTCTGCTTCTGAACAACACAACAAACCCTAAACCCTAAACCCTAAACCCTAAACCCTAGTGGGGTAGTGCTTGAAGAGTTGCTGCAAACTTTAAACCCTAAACCCTAAACCCTAAACCCTCGCGTGTCTCACCCTGGCCTGAGCCTATCAACACAACATTA